AAGCGGCAGCTTCGCGCCTCATCGCATTGTCAGTGACAGCGTCCATGATCTTCGCCACGTCGGCGAGCATGCTATGAGTAGCGACGAACGTGGTCGGTGAGCGCAGGTGGTTAGCGAGGAAGTCTTGGTCTATATCCTGAGGAGTGTCGTAATAACCTGTCATCCGAACCAGTGAGCTGCAGAATCGACGAGACGGTCCCAAGCGATCTCACCTTGGTCTTCAGATGCTGTGTACCCCTCATTGCTCTCGTCCGACTTGGGGGCATTCGGATACTGGAAGGACTCAAACCCGGCTATAATGCAGGTGTGGACATTCATCTCGTGGGCGACGTTGACACTCGTGGCTTGGCAGACAGATATCCAGAGCACTGGTGGTGAGAGCGTTAGTTCAAGTTTAAGAGGATGGAGGAGGAACCGTATGAGGGGTGGAGGCGGAGTTGACGTTGACCTCAGGTAGGTCGGCGATTACCGCATATGGGCGCCTACACTAGTTCCTTTGTTCGACAAAATCTCTGGCATCGTGCGCTCAGACTGGAAGGGGCAGGCTGATCTCAAAGCGTCTCGTATAACGATGCAGATATTGATAGTGCATCCTGGGACAAACCCAAATCCAGATATAAGTATTGAGTTCGGACGAGATAGGCCCATTCATAGCGCAACCTTCATCCGCGGATGTGCATTGGCGCCGCCGAGAATGATGTGCGTGCTGGATACATATGCAGCCGCTGGACTAGCAAGCAAACGCGCTGGAATAGTACAAGACGAGGTTCAGCGCCGGTGTAGGAGGATGATCCTTATCCTAGCGGGAGACACGTACTTGGAGGTCGTTGACGGATGACATGGCTATACCATGCAGAGAACGCTTTAGGCACTTACTACAGACTGTAGGTAGTCCGATCGGCAAGCGGTTTCACACCTTATATGTGTTCCTTTTCGATCTTCATATCACTCTGATCGAGCATCGGTTCCGCGCTGAGCATGAAATTTCCGTCCTCTACTGGACATCTCGATTTCCGTCATCTTCCTTCCGCAGAGCCGAGTGCTTCACTCCGAATATCGTCTTCGAGCATATGTGAGCCACCCAGGGGTCCTCCAGCGAGACGGATGCCGCCGTCCTGCGCTTTCTTGAGATGGGGCAACCGTCCCTCTTCGCCTAAATCGTCCGTTCCAGCAATGGCGTGGTGCTCTCCTTGATCAACCTGGCCTCCTGATCTTGGCAGAGGAAGCGGGGGAGGGTTTGAGCTCCGTCGAAGGTGACGACGCCAGCTCCAGTGCCGAGATGACGGCCGCGAACGCGGTCCTCGCACTCGACCTTCCCCCCCGCTTCCATTTGCAGTGAACACAGAAGGGGGCTGAGAACCCTGTGACGCCTCGTATGATGTCCGCGGCGTAGCGTGGTATGAAGGGAGCTCGAGGTGTGAGCGACGTGTGTGGTACGATGGCGGGATTGTAGACTCGGAAGTGAATAACGATTCTGCCTCTATGCTGTCGATGGTGTCCTCGCCGATCACCGGCGGGTCGGGCAGAGGGCGTTCTTCCCGACGTTCGTTGAACGAGTCCACAGGACTGCACCATTGGCTGTTACATCGATAATCAGCCTGATGTAGGTGATGATGACCTACCTCTGTGTTGACACGGGAATATCTCCTTCTCCAATGGGAAGCGCGGGGTCTGTTGGCGTATTGAAAATGAGGAGATCAGGGACCGGGGAGTGGGGTGCAGAAGGAAGAATGTTGGTCGCAAGAGAAGACTCCAGCGACGTCATCTGCGCAAGCGTTCCGTGGCTTCGAGTCGTTGAGTGGGCTCCAAGAGTTCGACTCGAAGCGAAATGAGGGTTCCCCACAGGGAGAAGGGGATCACGGCTAGACAGTTGCATCTGGTACAACGTGAGTTTTGGCTACTGTTACAACAATACACAGAGGACGACTTGCGTACCGCGGCACTCAGAGCCTCAATCCTTCCACGTAATCTTCTCCTCATGCGACGGGATTTGTACAACTCCCACATCCAACCCAGGGCGCACAGCGCCCACCCAACACCTAATGGAAACTCCGGCGTCAACGCAGGACGGTGATTCTGACGACGTAACATACCCATAATAGGGATCGCAATCGTAATGACAGTGCTGTCGAAATGACCGGACATTGAAGGATCGTGTGAGGGAGGCCACGGAGGGCAGGAGCAGGGGCAGAATCGAACAAGGCTAGTTGGCGCGCACAGTTAAGTACCGCAGCCCTTCTTGCATCGACGGGCCCCACGAAACTCGCAAGTAGGTACCGAAGCTGACAGACGGCCCCCAGGGCAATGATTCTTGGTCTGGATTCTATCAATGAGAAGTTCAACACTTTGTGATCTTTCTCCACGACGGCGTATCTTTGGAGCGGAGTCATCACTCAAAAGCAACGACTTGGGAAGGGTGTAGAGGGAAGTCAGAATGTAAACGGGTGGATGGATTGACTGCTGGAGTTTCATCCGTCACCGTCTAAAAGTGAGGATATAGATGTAATGCTGAGTCTGCATGTATCTGAAGAAGCGGGAGAGAGCAGCGTATCAGGTTCACTGACAGATGGGAGCATAGGAAAAAGATCGGACCTTCTACTAAATTCCATAAACAAATCAGGACAGAGCGTGTCCGGCAAGGTTTGATCAAGCTGCACAACACCACTGGCAGCGACTCGCAAGTGTGGCATGGACCTGCTGCTGTAGAATGTCTTTGCCGGGTCAGGGTAGGGCGAACGGCTAGTCATCGGCACTCACGTCGACGACAAGAGGATTGACTTGTAATACTGGTACTATGAAGCCATGGTCCATGGATGGGGCACTGCTTACGATGGCGTAATCTATTTCGGTGAGTATCATGGTATCATTCCAGGTGGTCCGCTAACACAACACATGCCAGCGGATCATCCCACGACCTCCTGCGATGTTCCTCGAGCTCGGGATGACGTCGCGCAAATGGGGGACTCGGAGCACAGCCCGCATGTCATAAATCCAAGGAATAAACAATCGACATTATAGTACATGGTCCAAATCAGTTCTACACGGACGCGTCAGCCGGCGCAACGAGAACATGAGAGGAAAGACGGAGACGTACTTCTGGTATCCGGAAGATCGTGATCTCCTGTTGCTTGAAGTACCGCCGGTTCTCCTCGTCGATGAGGACGAGGTTGAGGTAATATCGCGTGCTGAACTTCTTGTTTACGTCGCGGAACGTCGGCGTGAGATCGAAGCCCCCTAGGAACAGTCGTATCGGGATCGTCTCGCCTGTGTGACGAGATAGCAGTCAATATATGCGCATACATACACACAGCCCGCGAATAATCAAGATGGATAAACCCCGTGATAAGACATACCTCGAACGGGGGCACCGTCCATGATCTCGAACTTGGTGATCGTTTCGCTCTCGTTGTACTGGTTTGGTGGCGAGCCGGTCGTTTCGCGACGGATAATGGACAGCTCCATGTGCTTGATCTTGATACGCACGAGGAGGAAGTAGATCTTCCCGACAATGACGTCCTTCAAATGATATCTAAATGGACGTCAGCAACACGACGAAGCTACAGACTAAGCCGCAAAAGCACGCCGCAGACAACGAGGAGTGAGGAAACGCACTTTGATTTGTTGTACTCGAACTCAATGTGCAGACAATCCTCGATACCAACCTCCATCTTGATGGAGTTATTACTGTCTGGCGGCATGCGGTATGAGTGTACCCAGAGGTCCTTCTCCTTCGTGACGTCCGCTATTCTCCTTGAAATGGTCACCTTGATGAAGTACCTACAACAACAGAATCGCGACGCCTGAGTTCGGCGGAACCAGAGGGAGTGTAAATGGAAGTGTGTACCTCAACTTGACATTGATGCCCTGGTAGCTCTCGAACTGCTTCTCGACGTTCTTGAAGAGGAAATCGAAAGTCTGAGCCTGCCGCATCTCTCCTGGTGCCGCAAGCTCTTGTGATAATGATAGGAATTCATGGTGATGACCGCGGTCGTAGAAGAGCTCTGATCAAGCACCCTCAGAACGGACGAGTGGAAGACGATGGCGGTCTACGCACCAATACTACCCACGAACTCAACCTTGATTCCCTCATGCGCAAGCTTCTTCCCGTCTCGTACGCGTACCGTCACCTACGGGTCTTGTCAGACGAATTGGAGGCATATGCTGCGTTACTGCGCAGACGCGACCATGACGGGCGCGAACGGGGAACATACCTGACCGGAGACAGATTCGCCATCATAGTATACTGGACAAGATATCAACTTCTCCTTCTCCCCTTTAATGTCCACCTTTTTCCTGTCATCTTCACCCTCCAGTCGGATATCAACATCAACCGGGGACGCGAAGAAGTAGGCCGCCATGGGGTGAGATGCGAGGTCGTGAAGTGTTACTCTCGGGACAGTCGTCAAGTGCAAGGGGTGATAGTGGGCACTAGGTAGATTCACCGCAGCAAAAGTCGAGGGCACGCCCAAGTGTAAAGTGCGCCGACGGAGGACAGAACTGAGCTGAGCGTGCGTAGCGCGACGTCAGGACGTAGCGCCGAGGACACTAGGACCTCCCGTTTCGTGGAGATCGCAAACACTTGCAAATAAGGAGAGGAACCTCCGCATTCGAATCCATCTGACACACCAGTATCAAATCCTATTAGTCTCTACACATCTCTCAGCACTCGTCCCATGTTTGACATGGGCATTCATAAACACTAGCGTCGTGAACTCGACGTTGCCTACGAAATTGACCTGCGGCTATCGAGGTAGGCAGACATTGAACCAACAGTCAACAAGTTACCTGGACATCCCTTCCTCCCTCCCGTTTGCCCAATCGCTGGCTGATGTAATGGCTGTTATGCTGCCCTCGTCCACTCGTACTCGGGACTGACTTTGAGAACGGCCCGCCTATGTATTGTGGAGTGCCACCCAACCAAGCGGCTCTCGAGAACCATCAGGAGATCCATACTCCGACGAGGCTTCGTCGCTAGCCGAGGACTCTGCAGCTTTGCCCGGCTGGTACGGAAAGGCGCCCTACGAAACTCCTTCAACCGGCATGCATATCATAGGCTGCAGAGTGCTCTCCCGAAGATCTCGCCATGCTGAACGGACAAATGGCTGAAACAATGGACGAGGACGGGAGGTATAAAGGGGAGAGATTGAGACCCTCAGAGGCACCCTCAAGAACCTATCGCCACATCGTCCCAGTGCCCTGCTATCTCCCTAGTCCCCTCCAATCCCCCTGTTCACTTTCGAAGCACACCAATGGCCTCTCACTCTGATTGCGCGTCTCAGGGCGTTTGTGATCCAGCTATGTGAGTAATTTATCTTCGCGGCATACGCTAGCATGCACTGATTTGAGTCAAAGGCTGGCGCATCTGGCTCTCGTGCAGGACCCAATGACAGTCCTCTTCGACTTTGACGCGTGTAAGGTCCATAGTGGCCGCTTTCAAGGTCTCACAGCTCAGCATAACAGGACTTCCATCGGCGCGGATGCTCCTCTCCCCCGAGGGCTCGACGCACCTGTCCCCACCTCCTCTCCTCCCTTCGAGGTGAAGGCGTTCCTCGACTTCCCTCCTCATCCTGCCGTTCCTCCTCCTTCCGGCACTTTTGATCCTTTGGTGCTTGTGCGACTCCAGGATGAGCTGTGTTTATCTCAGGTGAACGCGGGGTTTCCCATCATCACCTTTCCGCCGGACAGTCAACATCGCGCTTCTTCCCGCTCGTCCACGTCGTCCAGCAACAGGCATGATGCTCCTCTTGCCTGTCATTCAGGCGAAGACTGCGAGCACACCGCCATCTCATGGTATGTCCTCGACCGGGTTCCTATCCCCCCCGCCTTGACAGACTACTCACCGCGTATCACACTATCACTCAGGTCCGACCTCTCCCTCTCTGATTACCTCACCTCCGAATGTACACCTGCGTGGCAAGGACGTGCTGGTGCCCAGTCGGACAGCTCTTCCGTCCCCGGCTACGTCGCGCCAAGCTCCATACGTTCTTCCGCCTCCACTTCTGCATGTCGACCACTTAAGCCGAGGAAGTCGCCCTGCTCCTTCCTTCCCGACAAGTACCAGCCCATCAAGCTTGGGCCCGGGGCCCACTCCTGTATCCGCTGCCCGATGCCCAACTGCGGGGCCGAGCTCGAGGACCGCGACGCGGCTTGGCGCGGGCACTTCAAACACAAACACCTCGACGACCTCTGCCTCATGCCGGGGTGCCGCGGGAACGACCCGTCGAAGTGTATCGCGTGCTGCCCGTTGCCGGCAGGTGGGTGTATGGCGCCGATGACGGTCGAGAGCGTCGGCCGCCACATCCTCAACGTGCACATCAAGGTCGCGTACGGCTGCCCGGTCTGTGGGAAGCAGAGTACGTGGCGAGAGTCGTCGTGTGCGCGCCACATCCGGAGTTGCTTGAAGAGACTCCAAGCGAAGGGGACACTGGGAGCTCGTGGTTGATCGTCGCTCCTGCCTCTTTCATACCTGTAATTGGCACGATTGTCTCATATTGTACGAAGACTGTAGGGATTATTTTGTTCTATTCTACATCATGCCCAATGGTAATCAATCAATCTGTCTGAAACTATGTTTAACGATATGTCTACACATTGTACATTTTGTGTGCCCGATATCCTCACCGTTGGCCAGTAGCTGTCATGGCTCACCAGCTGAGATGTGAACGTCCTGGGCTCAACCTACCAGCCACATGGGTAAGTCAGCGCGCGTCACACTTACGTCCCCCACGGTTCGGTGGTGTCCAACCATACCGTCTGCAGCCAATTGATCTATGATCTCTAAGTCAATAAGTATTGATGTTGTATGATAGATACAGGATTCAGGTAATACACAGGAAGTGTTGTGCACGGAAGGAGCGGTCAGCTGAAACCTGCTGTATACAATACGACTATATTGTTCGAGGTGAAACACCTTCAAGCATACTCGCACCGCCCAATCATGAAGGAGAGTATATTGCGCGATGTGAAGTGTAGATCGACGTCTCCCGTTGTCGCGACCTTGGGATGCTCTCAGCTTGCACCTTGAGAGCGATCGCTGGCCTTGCGGAGTTTGTCCGGGGTGATGCGGTGGATGGTATCCGAGATCCTCATCTTCGAGTTCGCAGAGGCCGCAATGGCGGCTGACCCTATGATGCTGGAGGCCGTCGAGTTTGACGGGGGCGGGAAGGGGCTCTCCTCAACTTCGCAGACAGTGCCGGGGGTAGGAAGCGTGCCGTTCGCAAAGTACGCACGCAGATGTTGCTTGGTGCATGTCGACTGGAGCGCTTGGGATGTGTGCTAGGATCGCAATTACAGTGAGCTTCTCTCTTCCTGAATTCCCGTGCTTGAAACTACTTACGCCCGGGCTATTCTGGATGAGCAGACCAGAAGAGTTAGCCAAGTATGAGTGGACGGCTTGGCCGTTGACGAGGGGCGTTACGGGGTCGTGCTACGTGCAGGTTATGTTCTAGCTTCGCTTTTAGGAGGGTTGAATAGGTAGAGATAGCACTCACAGTATTGGAGACGATCAAAATTGGATTGTTCAGCGTGTGGTTCCACGGGCCGAGGTACCGCTCTGGGGGAGTGACAGGCCAGTACTGACACCCAGAGTCGGGCTCGGCGACGAGGACAGAGAAGAAGAAGCGCGACACGCTTTGAAGCGCGGCGAGACCTGCGTCTACGACAGTCTCCGGCTTCAGCAGGCCGAACGGCTTCTGGTCGTTGCACGACACCGCGGAGCGCTCTAGGTCGACGAGGTCCTTCTCGTTGACAGCGTTGAGCATCGTCGAGCCATCACCCAACATCGCCTCTGCGAGTCCAAGCGCGATCTGCGGCCATCCAAGTGGGGCCTCGAGACCACCCTCGATGAAGAGGCGTGCGCGGCCGTTCGTGAGGATGCCCGGGAGTGTCGCGTTGGGTACCGCTAAGGGCGTCTCGTACAGACTGTCGATCCAGTCCTCCACACGGTTGAAAATATCGTTCGGATCTTCGTTCTCTTTCGTAGCCAGTGCACAGGCCGTCGGTCCGGCCTTTGCGCACTCTGAATAGAGAAGCTTGTATGTTGCATCGGTCGAGTTGAGCCATACGGGTAATTGCTGGTACGGAGCCTTGTTCGCCCACGAGTCGGCGTCGGCGACGCCATCGATGACGACGCGTCCAACGCGGTCCGGGAAGATATTGACGAGGTACTGGCCCATGACCGTCCCGTAGGAGAAGCCGTAGAAGTTGATCAACGAGTTGTTGCCTTCAAGTATGGTGTTGATGTAATCGATGTCGCGCACGACGGACGTCGTGCCCGCGTACTTTATCGTCTCGCCCATCGTCTGTGCGCAAACCTGGAACTGGGCTTGGTAGAGCGCGTTCGCATCCCGCTGGGTCTCTATGAGGTGATACCGGTTGAACGGATCCGTCAGGTTCGGTGAGACGTCATAGCCGCGATCGAGGACAGTATTCGCGATGAACGCCTGGCGAGAGCCGTTGCCTGTGAAGCACTTCGTTTGCGGCCTGACATGATCAATGATCAGGCACGGCGAGATGCGTATATTGCGAGCCTGACGTACTCGGACAGACCAATCCCACGCGGGTCGAAGCCGATAATGTCGTAGTCCTCACCAACCTGTGGGCCGTTCCATTGAGCGTCAAACATACGAACGAGATAATGTGGCCAGCACTTACGAACTCCTGGAAAGAAGCACCGAGCTGTGTTGCGAGATACACACCAGTGCCTCCAGGTCCTCCCGGGTTGAAGAAGACGGCGCCCTTGCGGGGTGAAGCCGTCGCGTTGTAGCGGCCGAGCGCGATCTTGGCGACACCGGCGCTGCTGTTTGTGTAGTCCAGTGGCACGCTGGAAACAATGTGGTGAGCACAGCTATCGCGTGTCACAATCTATAACACGAAAATTACACAGCGTATCCACACTCAGCTCCGGGAAGGGTGCTATTGTCGGTGCAATTGCCCCAGGATATGTCGCCAACGTTTCCCTGGACAGGTCCAACGGAAGCCGTGGAGCCAGCGAAGGCGAGGGCACCCCCAGCGAGGAGAGCCACGACGTTATGCTTCCAAGCCGCAGATGCGGCACGTTCTGCGATAGCCATTCGAATCTTGCGTAGGGATTATTCGGGAGTAGGACAGCAAGCTCTGCCTCGAGAGGACGTAGTCAAGAAGTAGGAGACCGCCCGCGCGAAGAAACAAGTACGTGGAACGAGTCAGCCGCGAACGAGAGACGAGAAGAAGAAGGGGGATAACGAAAACGGCTGATGAAATCCCCAAAGTGCGAGGTCGACCAAGAGCATGATACCGCACATATATACAGGGATCGGCCTACCCTAGCGCCAGCGCATGCAAACCCTCCGTCGCCGAGGGCTATGCGCTCTACCAGCGGGGATGCGCCGCGCGTGTCAGATCCCTAAGGCGTATTTGATTTTGAGACCCGTAGTTCACCGGAGGCGAAGTATGCGCATCTTGACGTTGTAGAATTCATATTTCTGCGGCTCTGCTGTTACCGACTATGGAGCAGTGCGTCACATAGCTTTGGGTCTCGCTGGTGTATCAACTATTAACGTGGCAGGCAAGCGTCGGGCGACGAGATGTGTGGACGGATGCGAAGGGTTGTGGTGAAAGCTGAAATCAGAATTGCCGTCGGGTATGCGCTCGGGAATCGCCGAACAATGAACTTTGCAGCTGTCCGCTCCGAAGTACTGACAACTAAGTATTAGCTTGCGTCCTGGCCAAAGCCACTCAAATTGTCATCTTGCTTCGCCACATTTAAGGGAGCACACCTCAGCGAAGCGCGAGCGATCGAAAATTGATTGAACTAGATAACATTGGTGGTATAGGGTGGTATGATGTGCGACAATAAAGAATGTGTACTACGATGATATAAGTGAGCTGTTTGGCAGCCTCACCAAGCAGCTCCCCGAGCGTCGCCAAATTCAAGCAGAACAGCACCGCGCGAGGACAGAAGGGCAAGAGCGTGAGGCAGGGGCCTTCGCAATAATGATAGGATTGCTTCAAGGGCAGAAGGTGATGGTGTAGTCAGCAGCGAGACCCGAGTCGCATGTCCACAGGGCAGTGCCAGAGGACTCGTCGTACGCGTACGCGTATGAGTTCGGGCAGTTGTTCTCTGCAAATATCGTCAGCTACCACGTTCTAGCGAAGATATGGAGAGGCAGAGAGATACGCACTGAAGTACGAGTAGTCCTGGACGCCGGAGGGCGGGCAGGTCGCGGCAGTGTTGTGGGTACCCGTGCAACAGTTAGGGTTGTTGGTCTGGTCACCGAGGCCGGCGACGCAAGCAGACTTGCAGCCGACGACCGCACCACTCGAATCAGTGGGGCCGGCGAGCTCAGCGGGACAGTTCGCATTAAGGTCAACGGGACAGTCCGCAACAGAACAGCCCTTGTCGTTATCAACACGGATGGGAATGTTGAAGCCGTCGACGAGCGAGACTGTATTCCGATGCGGTCAGTAACACGGCCACTGCACTGCAGAGTTGATCCTGGAAAACCTCACCATCGTACCAGTCCTGGTTGCCGTCGCCCTGGAAGGTGAACTCGGCAACGGTGGCGGGGGGTACACCGGTGCCTGTGTGGGCGTCGCACTCGAGGCCGCCGTTGCAGCCACCATCAGCGCAAGAGTTGGGGCCGGGGTTGGTGGAGAAGTCGCAGTCGCGACGACCCCAGATGCGGCCCGCCTTCCAGTTGTCCGGGACCGTGAAGGTGACGGTCTGGCCAGACGGCTGCTCCCAGCCGGTGGGCTGGTCGGGGACGGCAGTGCCGACGTTCAGGTCAGTGAACAGCTAGTCGCGTGGTGTGAGCACACGGGGTCCGATAAACTCCACAGAGATGAGCTAACGTACACCAGGCCAGATGGTGTAAGAGCACTTGTTGACGACCGTGAAAGTACGTGCAGTCGCGGTGGTGGCGAACGCAAGGGTGGCAGCGGCGGCAACGAAGCTCTTCATGGTGGCGGTACACTGGGGTACGAGCAGCGATGAGAGGGTGTGAACTGAAGAGAAAGAAATGAAGAGAAGGGAGATAATGATGGTCAGCCCAAAACCGGTCCCCTTTTAAACTTTCCGGTACCTTGTGAGACGCGCCCAACGTCAATCAAGGTCGACCACAGTTACGCAGAAGACGGACGAACATCCGAGGACACGCTTTCTGAGGTCAAGACACGCATGCTTCCCTAGTCAACGTTGGAGCCCCGAAACACATGATATCAACCCATTTTCCTGTTTGCATCTCCGCTGCAGAGGATACTCGTACTAAGTGAGTTGGAAAATGGGGTCAGGTTGACAGATGTGACGTACGAGGGCAACAAAGATCGGCACGGCCCGAGCTTTCGCGCCTATGAGTTGCTAAGGCGGGGGATGCGCATGGTCGCGGTGTCGTCGGCAAGGAGGAGAAGAGGCGGGCCCACACCCACGAGGCTCGCGAATGCCTGTGCCCTGCCAATTCCGGTCGTCGGCTCCGCCGCAGTGGGATACAGTTGTGAGATGCATGAACGCTTCACAGCCGCCGTCGTCCGGCACCAGCCGTTGATGCTGGGGTGTGGATGGCCATGTGGACACTTGAACACCCATCTTGCGCTGTGGAGCATCGAGCACACTGTGTAGAGGAATGTGATCAGCTCTGCCGCCTGTAGGATCTCGGTTATGCCCTGCAAGACTAAGAGGCTTTGAGGATCGACCCAGTTACAGCTGGAGGACCAATGCAACAAACTCGACTCTATAATATACTCCAAATATACCGAAAGCAGCGGGATCACTGGAGCGGTGCTCATATGCAGCTGCAGTTCTGGACTTGATCGGCAGTCCTTCATGACAACGTGAGGACTTCATAAGACAGAAACGCGCTCACGGATGATCTCATTAAGCCCGAAAGCACATGCAGAGTGGTTGCAGGAGAGTGCGATCGCCCCAGATCTGCCATCAATCCGTTAACGTTGGCTAGAAAGCTGTGCCATACGGATCGCCCGATGATAAGACGTCCACGTCAAGGTCCACTACATCTCTCTATGACTGTAGAGACCTGATAGCACTCCACGCGTCTAAGTATGCGACATGGAAATAGAGCTTCATCTAAGTGATCATTCTTGACGAACCAGCTGACCCGTGCAGAACCCAGTGAATGCTCTGATCTTAGTCCCAGTCCTGCACGGCAAAGCCCTCTACAGTCAGTCGGGATCCATGGACACTGTAGAGCCGAGAGATAGAAGATGCGCGGAAGCTCGGACGTACCGCCACATGCAGGTCACGGTCCACGAACAGATACTGGGAACAGTCCGCAGCAAGCCTATTGAAGAGGCGTGAGCTGCGATCTCGTTCCCAAGCGATCGGCGTTTCTTACGGGAAGCTCTAGCTTCATGCGGGAGTGGAGTGTGCAGTGGATACGAGCGCATGACTGAAACGGATCGTAGTCTGTCATAAGAACTGGGATCACAAGGACATAACGTGGATAATACCGACAGAAGTCCTCTACTTCGCTGAAAGTGTCTTGTGTCTGTTGGGGCCGTCCGTCTTGAAGGGCCTCATTCTATGTAGTGGCGGTACTGCTGTGAGTAAAATCAGGGTGAAGGGGATAGCGATTGAAATCAGCTTCGTCGCATGCTGAGGACTGCCTCTGTATATTGAGCTACCTGGTCACCGTACACTATGCGTCAGCGTGATCCGCTGGTCTATGTCTGAGGATGCAGGAGCAGAGTCTGTACATTTGGATGACTGCACTGGTTACCATTCCATCCCTCAGCGATCTTTGATTAGCTATGAGCATTCAGCGACTGAAGCAGGATAACGATGAGGTACTTACATGGCGATGTTTGCTGCGGTCAAGGCTAACGTGAATGAGTGCAAGAGCCTCATCAGGAAATGTAATCAGAAAATGTGTATCAGCTGTAGCGACATTATTATTCTGAAGTGATTATTGTGGATAGCATTCAGTAGGTTGGGACGACGGATGTGCGTACATACTGAGTCGGGGACGGGAGTCAATAGGCGCTCATACATATGGACATTGACGTTGATTGGTCCGGCGACTTAACTTGCCGAGCCGGGCTACAGGTACAGGCGGGCGACTACGAAAGTGCGGGGTAGACCACGACGTCCACCACCGAAGCAGCGTTCCAATGTCGGGAGAAAACAAGTTGGGTGTGTAGCAAGTCGCCCATTGAGCCGGGTCATATGATTAACTGAGCCAAATGGTAGACTTCTCGACCTCTGCCTTGTTCGGTGTCCGGGGGAAAGTAGGTACGTGCCATAGAATTCCCCCTTCCCTGCCCCAAAGAAATTAGCAAGCTGAAGAACATGCTTACAGCCGTCGTCACTGGTGGAGGCTCGGGAATTGGGAGTATGATTGCCTCAGCTTACGTTCAGAATGGAGCCAAAGTATACATTGCGTCTCGCAAGGAGCAGCAGCTCAAAGATGCGAGTACCATTTGAAGTTGATCCGGTCACGAAGGGAATGCTCATCATAGCTTTCGTTCACAGACAAGTGATGCACTCAACAAACAGGGACCAGGAAGTTGTCATTACGTAGTGGCGGATATCAGCGTGAGCGCTCGTCCTTTCGGCGCACATCTCGGCGGCGACTAATGCGTCGCATCCACGATGATCAATAGACGAAGGCCGGTTGCGATGCTCTTGCTAATGCTATCAAGGAGCGGGAGCCCAAGGTGCACATCCTAGTGAACAACTCAGGCACATCATGGGGTGCTCCATTCGACGAGTGAGCAATCATCTTGCGTTCTCACAAACGAGGAGCTCAATACGCAACATCGTAGTTTCCCAGAACAGGGTTGGGACAAGGTCATGGCGCTCAACGTGAAGAGCCCATTTTACGGTAAGCCATAGCGTTGCAACATAGCCAGGACATCTGACAACCGACCGACCTCTCCCCTTCTCAGTGACCTCATCGTAAGTTAGCGTGCTGGATACAGGCAGAGCGCGTGCTGACAACTGCAGCCCAGGCTCGCTCCGCTCCTCGCAAAGGACGCGACCTCCTTCGATCCCGGTCGCGTGATCAACATCTCGTCCGTGGCAAGCTTCATCACAGTCACGGAGGACGCGAAAGTCGCCGCTAAGGGTACTGGCACCTGGAGCTGTACGCCTAGCCTGCGCTTTCCAGATCCCGGCCACTACATAGTAGGCTGATTCGCTTGTCTACGTATTCAGATGGCGCGAGCAAGGCAGCGCTTAACCAGCTTACGGTGCTGTTGGCTACTACTCTTGCAAACAAGTACATCACCGTCAATACGATCTGCCCTGGGTAAGTCACCGGTAGGCCAAAGACAACGCGTTGCACTGAGTACGCTATGCGGTGTGCCCCGCAGCGTCTTCCCGTCCAAGATGACTGCGTTTGGCCTCAAACAACATGGAGAAGAGGGTCTTGCCGAGGGCAGTCCCTTCGGTAAGTAATCCATAGTGGGGACCATTGCATGCCTCACTTGAGCTCACTCGTTTACAGGACGCATCGGCCACCCAAGAGATATGGCTGGTGTCGGTACGTGTCGCTCGCAAACTTCCTACACCGGCGCTGAACCTTGCCTTGTCCCATGTCAGCACTATTTCTTGCTAGTCCGGCGGCAGCATATGTCTCCGGCACGCACATCATTCTCGACGGTGCCAATGCACATTCGCGGATGAAGGCTGCGCTATGAGTCGGTCCATTTCGTCCGGAAATAGGGTTCTCATAGGATGTACTATCACAATTCGCTATCTAAATCGTCATACGAGACAATCTGAAGCCATTCTCCCCTTTGGTCTGAGTTGCACGAGTAATCTTGTCGAACAAAGGAACGAATATGTAGGCGCCCATATGCGGTAATCGCCGACCTCGCTCAGGTCAACGTCAACTCCGCCTCCACCCCTCATACGGTTCCTCCTCCATCCTCTTAAACTTGAACTAACGCTCTCACCACCAGTGCTCTGGATATCTGTCTGCCAAGCCACGAGTGTCAACGTCGCCCACGAGATGAATGTCCACACCTGCATTATAGCCGGGTTTGAGTCCTTCCAGTATCCGAATGCCCCCAAGTCGGACGAGAGCAATGAGGGGTACACAGCATCTGAAGACCAAGGTGAGATCGCTTGGGACCGTCTCGTCGATTCTGCAGCTCACTGGTTCGGATGACAGGTTATTACGACACTCCTCAGGATATAGACCAAGACTTCCTCGCTAACCACCTGCGCTCACCGACCACGTTCGTCGCTACTCATAGCATGCTCGCCGACGTGGCGAAGATCATGGACGCTGTCACTGACAATGCGATGAGGCGCGAAGCTGCCGCTTCTCTCTTGAACGCCATAAGCAAGAC